GTAGACAAGAGTTAGATCACATTCCCTTGTGAGCCCACCTGAGAACAAGGGAAGCCGACACACAGAAGAAAAGCACATGAATGCAATTAGGACACACTTAAAAGTAAGTAGGAGGGACATATTCTCTATATAGGATTTCAAGGGAAAAAGAAATTCAACTAAAACCATAATAAGGTTACACTATTTTTTAGTAACAAAGCTTAAAATGATAGCTGAAGAAATGTATAAATACATCTTCTGTACTAGGGATCAAACTCAGGACTTTGTGCTTGCCGGGCAGATGCTTATGCCACTGAGCTGTCTCCCTGGCCCTAAATATGCCTGCTAATTTCCCTTGTCTCTTGCAGTCACTGATAACTTGACTCACGTTGGAGCTTGTTGGGTTTGCCCTCTGAGTCCGGGAGATTTTGTGTGAGGGCTCATTGTCCCTAAAACTCCTCTGGTTATGAGTGGATGACACAACCAGATTTTGTTCCCTTATATTTATTATTTTAATTATGTAGACTTATGTGTAAATGTAATGCTTATCTCTACACTCACAGTTTTGTGCATGATTGTTAATTATATAAAGTTATCTGCCATAAACAATGTTTTAAATTTAATTTTCTATCCATAAAATTTGGTATGGTGTTTTGTCATGGAAAGCATTCTTTTCTGATAAATAAACCTCTTCTTGAATTATGTAAAGAATGTAAGAGCATTTCACTGCTGATGAAAATAAGGCACATTAGCTTGGTATGTTCCCTATAGTTAATTTTGGCTTCCTGCTCTCTGCTATTTGCTTGAGAATGTCATGTCCCACATAAATGCTGGCCTACAGAGAAAGGCAGACAGGTAAAACAAGATAGAGTCCAGTTCATCGATCTGTAGGGTCTTTGTATAATGGAAATACATGCTTGTGGCTAGCCACTGAAATTTTGAATACTAAGTAAAAAACACCTTGACTCAGATGATTACTTGTACAGGGCTGGCCAAGTAGCTCAGCAGATTAAAGTGCCTGCAAGTGGATGCAGGGGACAGGGGTTCGATCCCCGGGCCTGCCACACTGGCCCCGCCCTTGGGAGGAGCTCTTGGGAGTCTGTGAACAGGTGAAACACTGCCAGTCTGATCTAGTAGTGAGACCCTGAAAACACTGTAGACCCGTCCCTAAAAATATAAAAAGAAAAAAAAAAAAAGATGATTACTTGTACCTACAGAGCTTCACAGGCCTTTGGTTAAAAAACAAATCACATGACAAAAATCAGGAACAGTTTTACAATAAAATAAACTCCACCTCCAAAGGGTGGAGGTGTCACAAAGTCACATGGCAAAGGGAACGAATGAGAAGAGGAGTATATTGGGAACAATAAACAATAATCCAACCTAACTTCATTTAATATATAAATACAAATCATTGTCACAATTTTTCCCATTGTCAGTGAAGTTTGTTATAAAAATGCTTTATAGAAAGGTATCAAAATATTAGAGAAAGTAGGCTCAAGCATGAACCAAGAAAGTTCAACTTAAAATAGCAGTTATCTACTGCTTAAACATC